AGATGGATCCAAGGCTTGTGTGCTGTTTCCCTTTTTGCGGGGTTGGGCACCTTCCAGTTGTAAGGGAAGGTACAGTCCGAGCAGTTTCTGTTCCATTGGGCAGTATACAAATGAGTTTGTAAAGAAGGGATGAAATATAAAAGCAGCGTGGAGCTACTAACGTGAACTGTAACGGCCAGCGCAAGAGCTGGCAGAACATACTCTGCAAAAGGGCTTCTAGCGGGAATTTGGTTGTGATGGATGCTAAAGCCTTGTCAAAATGTCACCCGTGTTCCTCCTTCACTAGCGGTCTGCCAGGTGGCTGCTGCTGCGTGGTCCTGGAGGTTTCAGTAGCGGAGCTTGAAGTGGGTCACGGCACTCTCTGTGCACTGGGACTCATAAACTCTTGTGCTGGGTGCAGACCCTCTGTTGCTTCCTGGGATGGATGAGTGCCGGAGCCGATGTTTTAACTGCCTGTTGCTCAGGTTCCAGTACTGTCTTGGGATTCATCAAGTGGATTAAGTGCAAGCTTTTCCTGGAGCTTCACTGAAGAGTTTAATGACTACTTGGCTTATGATGCCTTGCTTTAGAAGCGGTAGGTTAACTTTTAGGCACGGGTTTATCCCTCTTTCTTGCACGATCGAGATAATTTTTGACCACCTTTCCTATAGTGCTATACCTGCAAAATACCTTGAAAGGCCAGGTGTGACCACACTGGGTCCCAAGTGCATGCACTTGTGGGTGGGGGCAGTGGGGGGTGATTACTAGCCTTGACATATTTAAACAAGTGGGTCCCATCTTAGTGGCAAGTCAAGAGATACTGGGTTCTAAAAGCAGAAGTATCTCAGTTCTTGCTCAGAATCGTCATAAATATTGAGGGCCAGGGCTTTGGCATTAAGAGACTAGCACAGATCACATCATTTATGCAGCCTTTTTCAGACAGGGTGTAAATGGGTTGCCAAGTAAGTCAATATGTGAAAATACACTTTATGACATCTGTTTGTTTTCTTTTTATTTGGTCAGGCACTGGAACAGGCTGCCCAGGGAAGCAGTGGAGTCACCATCCCTGGAGGTGTTCAAGGAATGTGTAGATGTGGTGCTTGAGGACATGGTCTAGTGGGTACGGTAGTGTTGGGTTGATGGTTGGACTGGATGGTTTTATAGGTCTTTGCCAACCTTAGCGATTCTGTGCTTTAGCCAAGAAGTATGACAGTGTATTCTTTGAAGGGTCCACATTGATAAAAATACTTATTCATGTTTGGTTGTACGTGGGGTTGTGTGTGGGGGTTGTGCTCAGACCTCTCATCTTGAGCACTTCCAGGCTTGTTAGCCTAGGCAATTTAATGCAAAATACGGTGCTTGATGGGCTGCATGCAGTGTTACAGAAGTTGCAAGTTTTGTATCCTGATGGCGTTACAGTGTATGTATAGTGCATTACTGTTATGTTCTCTACAGTAGTTATTTTAGCTATGGTAAGACAATCTGTGGAATAATGAGAAGTGTTTGAGAGCTGAGGGACGATGTCACGCAGCCACTGTGTTCAGCGTGCACAGGCCTGGGTAAACCTTTTCATTTTTCCTGTGGATATTGTAACGGAGAGCTAACAGAGATGTGTTCACCGGAATGTCACATGCTTGGTTGGAATCTCTGCTGTGAGTTCTGGAATGAAATGGGAAGGAGGTGGATGGTTGTATGGGCTCATCCTTTTCTTTCTGGCTGGATCAGCTGATCCCGGGGTTGATGACAGACAAAGCAAGCGTCTGCCTGAACTTCTGTCTGCTGTGGCTTTTATCTTCCTGCCTTTGAGCTGCCGAGGCTCGTGCTCTGTCAAGGTTTCTTTTAGCTCCAGATGAAGTGTCTTGGACCTTCTGCTGCACAGCAAAGTACTTGCTGTTCTAAAAATGCCCCTGCGTGTGCTTCCCTTGGCGCTGAGGGGTAGTTCTGCGCAGTCAGTGGCTGCAGCAGGATTCACTTAGCAGCATGTGTTAATGGGACCGACCTATTGACGGAATAAATTATCCATTTGAACCTGTAGTGTGGAAAAAGCACTGATGCTTTTAAAATGTGAGGTGTTTAAAGAATAATCGTTAACTATATCCAGTGTCGTCGTTTTCATAAGCTGTCACGACGTCCTGATAATTTGACACCTCTGCAACTTATTTATGAATACGTTTTGTGCATTTAACTGTTTTTTGCTGCGGCTGCCGAGAAGGTCCCCATTAGCAAAATGCAGTTTCCTGTTTCTATGACATCTAGAAAATGTAATTGCGTAAAGTGAAAAGAAAAAGCCATTTGTACAGCCTGATCATCATAGGTCACGAAACAAGCACAGCCTAACAAAGTGTTGGCATGAAAGGCCACTTTTACTTTTCTCCCCTTGCTCCTCTGCAGAATAGAAAATGATAAACAAGAACAGTATTTAATCCTTGCCTCTAGCCGTCTTCTTTGTATGTGCTCTGTGCAGCTTTGGTTGAGAGAATGTGAATCCCAAGTCCCATTTTGACAGAGACCAGAATTTTCACATGATCATGCGATCCCTCTGATGCTCACCCAGCATCAAGCCTTTCTGCCTTGTGGGATTTAGATCTTTCTGTCTTTCTGGAAATGCAGGCAAAGCATTCGAACTCAGCGCTCGGAGTTCAGGCACTAAGCAGGGCATATCGATCCCTTCCCATTCACGTACGCTTTTGATGGGGGAAGGCTGACCTAGAAGCACTGAGAGTTAGTTTATTAGTTTTGACATTGGGATTCGTTAGCTGTAATTCAATTAGAAGCACGCTGACGGATGCGTTTGTGTGCTGGGGCCGGCGGCGGCTGCTTTGGGTTCAGAAACTACGGTTCTAGTTGGGAAATTGTTTTGTGCAATCTTGGAGAAGACGTGCATTGCTAAAAGTGACATCGTTCTTGATTTGGTTTTTAATAGATTTCTTTCTGTTTCCAATTATGTTTCTAATTAGAATAATGTCTTATTTCCCATGACAGTTTAAAAATAATGCAAAGTCTGTAAAAGAGAAGCTATCAAGATGATTGAATAATGTTTTCTTTCTTGTTTGTTAGACTGAAACCTTTTTCCACCTGAATTGGATGTATAGACCTATGGGGTTACAGGAGCAATTCCTGTGTTTACAGAAGGTTAAGGTGCAGTAGTTGCTAAGCTTGGGCCTGTTTTCATTCTCACCCCAGCCCTTAAGCTGTGCGTATTCCCTTCCTAGCAGGAAGAGAGCGTGCCTCTCCCCCTTTCTATAGAAACCTCAGCTTTTCAGGTGTGAGATTGGCTGCTCTCTGTCCTCTGCTTCCCCTCCCAGGCACATCTCCCTTTCACACCTGGGGTAGGGTCTTTTGCGTCAGCAGTGTTTCTCCAACCCCAAAGATGTTTTCCTGCTCTTGGGAACTGAGATGCATGGTTCAAGGGATGGATGTCTGAATAACCTCCTCTGGGAGCATGAGCGTCCTCGTTGAGAATGTAGTTGTAGTCTGAGACTATCAAAGGTTGCTGCAGTGGGGAGAATGCAGAAGAGATCTGGAACTGACGTCCAGTAGTTGCTGGAACCTGCTCTTTGGGGGACAGACGAATCTAAACGTGCTGCCATTGTGGAAGGGGTTCAGATGGGATAGAGGCTAAATCCCAGACTGTCTCCATGACTGCCAGCTCAGAAGGCTCTGGGGTTTTAGATGCTGACTGCGGTGAACTTACCCCTCTGTGCATAATTTCGCATGGCTGAGTGCAGCTGCCACGAGAGCCTGCTCATGTTTTTCTGGAGCATGACTTAAGTTAAGCCTCTGCCTGAGGTGTGCTGCTGCCATGCGTGTAATTACCTCCGGAGGTCTGGAGAAAGGCTGGGAGCTCAGGGGTATGATACGAGATGGCATTCCCTTTCTGCTAAGTACCTCTGACAGTGCTGCGGTGAGAGAGGAGGTTAGAGCAGGGCTAGAGCTCTGATGCTTGCCAGGAAGATCTGTGATTGCGGATAAAGGCGTGTTTGCAAGGTCGGAGTGGTGATGCTCTTCGTAGCATCAGGCGTGATGCTGAGAGAGCATGGCAAGTCGTACGTTCTGACTCAGCCCCTGGAGTGGGTTGGCTGTCATGGGAGGTTTGGGACTACGGCTATGGCTGTTACTTTTTCTAACAGCTTGTTTTGTAATAATGGTACTTCCTTTTTTTTTTTTTTCAGCAGGATAACCAGTAAGCATGAGACACCAATTAATTACAGTAAAGTCTGTCTGTGTTTCCAGAAACCCCTCTGCTGTAATATGGATCAGGAAGTCCATCTGTTTTTAAAAAAAAAAAAAAAAAAAATCCCTGCAAACCTTCTCCCCTGTGTTCCTCCTTCCAAAACTGAACCGCATGCGATGCTTTTGAGGCTGGGGTTCTTCTCTGGCTTGGTTTGCAGAGCAGCTGGCGTAGGTTAGAGATGCCAAGGTGCAGAGGTAGGCTGGAGCCAGGGTGGCAGGAGTGCTTCAGGGAGGCTTTGCAGCCAAATGTTTCCTAGTGTTGGACGTCGCCTCGGAGAGCAAAAGCAGACTCTGAAGTGCTTTGGTAGGCAGCAAATTAAACAGGTAAGAGGAGACTTTTTCAAGCAGTTTCAGGAGCTTTTTGGCACAAGATGTTCTTGAGGCTTGACCAGCGTCGAGAAGAACTAGGTGTCCATTTGATAACAGGCATCACAGTTCATGCAGTGAGGTTAACAAAATACCTACTTGCTAGATGTAAACGGCATTGCTCTGGATCATGAATCAGTTTCTGGCAGAGAAAAATTAAGAAAAGTTATCCATAAGTAGCTTGCTCTGTATCTACCTGTGGCTGGACTTCTGCATCTTTCTTTGAAATGGGGTGTAGGACTAGATGGGACCTGTGTTCTGATTTCTCACCTAGTATAGTTAACTAACGCCCCTCTTTCAGCTTGTGAGAGACTGGCAGTGTTTCAGTGCAGTGCAGAAGTCTTCTGTGGTTGAGGCAGGCCAGATGTGCCTTGCAGAGAAGTTCCAGTTTCCTTAGCCTTTTTGTCTATTCTTACCCTCAGGGTGTACGTCATGGCCCAAACGGAGAAGAAAGGTGGGCTGCTCCGGAAATCTTCAGCCTCCAAGAAGCCATTGAAGGAGAAGGTTGTGTTGATGTATGATGAGATTTTCATGGTAAGGACTTGAGCATCTCTTCCCTTTAAAGTGTTGTGTTAAATTTTCTCCGTTTCGTTTGTGCTGAGGGCTCTGCATGGTGGGTGCTTTTCCCAAGGTGAGGACTGCACAGCGTAGGCACATGCTTCAGGCTCTCCTACTGTCAGGCAGAGCTCTGCGTTCTGCTCTTTTCCTTAATGTCACCTTGTCCTGTTGTCCATCAGGACCATTGGTGATCTATGGGAAAGTCACAGCAAATTTCAAGTATTTCCTAAAACATAATCCAGAATATAAACAGAGGAATCCCTGTTGAGGGCTGCTTCTGTTTGTCCTTCTATTCCTGGGAATCAGTGTAGATGGAATTCTATACTGCGAGACCACTTGGTCATCCAGTGGGATGGTACTGACTCTGAGCTACTCATTACAATGGTTTTCTTTAAATTCTGCCTGAATGATTTCTTCTTGTTTGGTGTCACGGCTGTTCCTTTCCCTTTCAGACAGAGGACCCCAGCAAATGCAACCCGAGGTTTTGGGAGGAGCTGTTCCTCATGAAGGTAACAGGAATTGAGCATCCCCTGATTCGCTGCTGTTCCGCTTACAAAGCGGCAGACAGCCAGCGCAAGGACGTGCGTTTTGAAGGTGTCAGCGGCTCTATAACCTGCCTGAATTCCCTCTTCACCTGACAGGTCAACTTGGAGTACCTGGAAGGCAAGCTGGAGGCTCTGGATGGGGAAGAGTTAATGAAGATAAAAGATAACATCAACTGCTTGTTTCAGCACTGCATCCAGGCACTGAGTGAGGAGCACCCAATCAGAGTGGTCAATGCATTACAGGTACCATGCTGGGGGGTGGGCAATGCTCTCTTCTGCTGCTGACGAGGCAGTGTATTTGCTGCTGGGACCGAACATCTGGTGCTCATTTCTTTGCTTCTGAGGAGAAGTGATGCTTGCAGGGCAGTTGATACCGATTGTCTGTGGAGGTTACAAACATTCATAGTCTCTTTAGTCTTTGAAGAACAATAGCTTGTTTCAGAGTTGAAGAGGATCTGGTGATGCAGGATGAAGCGAGTGGTGATGGGGGGACAAGAGAGGCTTGTTCACACTGCAGCCTGTCTGGGGAGGCTCAAGAGTACTCTGTGTAACTTTGCCTGTATTCCACTTTTTCCTGTTCTCCCTCATTTCAGCCTCCTTTTGAATCTCCATATGGGTCGAAAATGAAATAAAGCTCTGGAAGAGTTAGTGTGAAATTTATACAGGGCACTGTGCCTGCTGGATGCTTCCTAATTGGAAGCTGTGAAGAACTGTCACCTAGAATTAATAGCCATTTTCCTGCAGGTTGCTCCTTACCAAAGCTGTGTCTTGTGCGGGAGACTCCCCTCCTCGGTCTTGATGTTTGGTGTTGTTAGTTCGCAGGCTGATTCCCCTAGTTTGGTGAATGCATTTCTCTCAGCTGTAGGAATACAGATTTGGAGAAGTCAGCTGTAAGAGACATTGGACGGGCAGTAACTGTGAAAAATTGACTTAAACCAGAATATTTATGGCTCTGACATGCAATCTTGCATTGGTGGGTTTTTTGGTTTTTTTTCCCCCCCGAATTAGTTTGAAAGGATGCTATTAAATTTGGTAGTTACAGCTACGTAGATGGTCTAGCCCAGCACTGAATTCCCAAAGTTGCATTCAGGCTCTTGGCAGAAGTTGGGCCAGGGCTCAAGTCTCGAATCCTGCTGTGTGAGTGTATATTGGAACTGGGTAGCGCATCCTGAGCTCGAGTTGGGAGAGCATTCCCTTAATGAGACCCTGTTCATGTGGAGAGTGATCCTGAAGCCAGAACTTATGTAGGCAATCTTTTCTTGAGAATGACCATCGTGCCCAGGGGTTTGTTGGGCCCAGTACCCTGTCTCTGACAGTAGTGTGGAAAAAAGGGTGCTTCCTTACCCTTTGGCTTCTGTATGGTTCCAGAGGGGTCTGCTTGTCTTCAGCTTCACATCTGAAATTAGTTACTTCTCACAGGTGAATTTAAGCTGGAGTCTAAAACTGCAGTGGTTATATTCCTGCTCATTCCCCTCTTCACAGACCAGGAAGGTGTCTGGTGGTAAGAGTTCCCACAGACATTCCTCTCTGTTGGGGCAAACGAGACTGTTGCTGTATGAATTTTCCAGAGTCTCTGCAGGAAGCGTAGTGTGCTGGCACCTGTATTTTGCCAGGGATCTCGGAGCACAGCGTGAACTGGTAATCCAGTTCTTGCAACAGGAATCGTGAAGGAGGTTATGTTTAGTGGGATGGTTCTTAGAAGCCCTAAAGCAGTCAAGAGAACTTGGGCTGCCTGGTAGCCTTGGGGGGACGTTTTTTCCTCTCTTTTTCTGGCAAAGAGACAGTTTATTGGTCGGACTTACTAGAGCAGCGTGGTAACCAAACCGAAATCTGTGCTCTCTGTAGGAAAAGCATCTGTTCCTTGGACAGGCATAATGTGCTGTGTTGTGTTGTATGGATGCTTATTTGGCATGCTGGAAATAAGAAATCAATCTGGAAGGCTCTAAGGCATGCCGGTCCATGAGTTGGACACTGCTTCTGCATTGCAGTTTCCTGGTCAATGGTTTTTGGCCTTAAAGCCACGCTTGGCTGGTTTTGAAAGACGATGGTCCTGTCCGGTACAGACTGGGTCTGGAGAGAAGGAGCAGTAAGGTTACCTTCCTTCAGAGTGCTGTGGAATGAAGGGGTGAACTGACAGGAAAAACACACACAAATACGTTACTCTCCAATTGCTTTAACTTCTCAGTATCCAAGATCCTCCTTAGAAACAACAGAGGTGGAGGAGAGCTCAGACAAAATGTGTGGCTTCCAGCCTGGTGGTACTCATGTACATATCTGTGCTCTGCCAGTGCTAGGGAGGAGGGGTTAGCGCAAGTTCAGCTCTTGAGTTGTAGCTGTTACCTTACCTCTTACCCTCTGTTTTTTTCTGTTTGCAGACTTTGTGTGCATTGATTCGGGGTGTCCATCAGAAGAACAAATCCACTTCTGGGTTTGACATCATCAACATGCTTGTGGGTTTTGATAAGGCAGAGCTGTGTATGAAGGTGAGGCCCTGGCAGCGTCGTGAAGCACTTTGGGGCAGTGATTTGTAGACAGGCGTGTCTACCAGGGTGCAGCTTTTGGGGGAGATACTCCAGCCATTTACCAAATACAGCTCTCCTGAAGTTCTTCACCTGCCAGTGGCACAAAGACTACAAATAGTAGTCCATTTGGGGAAGATATTTGGTGACTTGCCTATCAGAATGAAATTTTTTCTTTAAGAATAACTGTTATTACCTGTAACAGTATTTGGAAAATGATCACTTACGCATAGCTGTCAAATAGCTATATGCTATCTATTTTTAATCATAACTGATATATATACTATTAAATTGGAGGTGTGCTGCTTGCAATCAGTCTTGTGGTGCCCAGAAGTAAAATGGAACGTTGAAAAAAGAAAGCACTTATACTACTGTCTTGCAAACAGAAAGGAAGATCAGATTTGTAGACCTAAAATCCCTTTGTGAATAGAATATGTCGTTATATGTGTACAAAAACCTCCCATGCAGCTAGAGAAAACTCGTGGAGAATGCTCGCGATGTTCTGCCGGTGGTCATTAAAATGTCGTTAACGCGGAACGGGGTTGTTGAAGCGACAGTGTGAATCTGGCTGGTGTGACTGTAGTAATGGCTCCATTATTGATTCTGGAATAACGTGGCATTATAGTCGTGCTCTTGGATTTGAATCTCCCAAAAAGCTTTTTATAGCCAACTTACCATTTTAAATAACGTGATTTTTCCTTAGAACCTGATGGAGAGCTTGGACTCGCTCCTCTGTGCCGAAGGTTCGGAGAGCCTCAAAAGCTTGTGTCTGAAGCTCCTTCTCTGCTTGGTGACGGTAAACAAAGGCCAGCTGTCTAATAACTTACAGGCTTCTGTGAGCCACACCTTGAGGGGTGGAACTCTCCCAAAACTTGAGCAGAATGCTGTGTTGTGAAGCTTAAGCAGGGGGAAGAAACTGCTCTAACCACGACGCCAGCAGAGACACAGGGAGAGGTGCCGACTGGGGCAAAAGGGGAGAGACACAGGGGGAAGTGTCAGTTGGATTCACAGGGATTTTTTTAGGGAAAAAGATATTTAGGAAGATAAATGGAAAGGGAGCAGAGGAGAAGGATTGGGGAATACTGGAAACGTGGAGTAGACAGGAGTGGTGAGGATGTGAAGAATGAGGAAGCTGGAACAAGTGGCCACTCCCCATCTCTTGGAGATGGTCGGCTGTTTTGGCTGCGATAAGAGATGGTTGAGTGTGGGGGAGGTTTTCACGGCCCTGTTCACGGTGGGAAAGCACACGGACTCCGCTTTTCACCCTCTGCCTCCGGCGAAGCAGCCTGCTTTGGCTGCCGGTGGCTGTTGTCATGCAGCTGCCTAAAATACCGAACTGGAGAGGAAAGGGGGAGCTCGTAGTAGCTCGTAGTACATGGGTCATGCTTCTTGCCAGAGAGGAGTGGGAGGAGGCGGGGCAGCTTTTATTTCATGTCTAGCTCTACTGCAAGTCACACCTTGACTTGCTGACTAAGTGAGAGATTCTGGATCCACGTGTCCATCTGGTAGTAGAACTCTTCTGTTCCCAGTGCGTGCCCGAGGCAGCTACAGCATCACGGGAGGCTTCAGATGCGATTGTAAAACTTGTGTTTGTGCTCAGGTGACAGATAACATTAGCCAGAACACCATCCTGGAATATGTGATGATTAACAGCATATTTGAAGCTATTTTACAGGTAAGGGTTTTTCCTTCTTACTGCAGGGGCTCTTTTTCCACAGTGAGAGCTGTTCAGTCATATATTTGCTTTTCAGCTCTTCCAGTGCAGCACAGATAACTGGCACTGTGTGTTGCTTCCATTCACAGCTCAGTCTTTTTTATTGCTGTTTCCTCCTTACCCTAGTCTGCTGTTCTTCGTCACTACTGAGTATTTGAAGTATTTGCACTTGATATGATTGTGCATAGATAGAAGCTGAACAGATTTCTGGGCTGATTTCACAGAGAATTTCTGTTTTGGAGGAGCCTTTCTCAAAAGGCAGTCAGGATATATTGAAGTTTTTTCCTGCTCTTTGATAAATTTATACTTTTTAGAAGCAGAACTGGGCTTGGAGAAACCCACAACACTTGCATAGAAAATGTTGGTGATGCACTGAGTTACTGTCTAAGGCTATTGAGAAATATATTTGCCCTTTATGCCCAGAAAACTAATGTGCATCTTCTGTGATAAATAAGCTGCTCTGTGTGCAGAACTTCATGGAAGACCCGACATGCCCTCAACCTTACATATCCTCTTTTGGCTAGGACATAATTAGCAATCATGCATAATTTGTGGCCATGCACTGTCTGGGGGTCACTGCAGGCTTCCTGAGGCAGGTCTGAACAGTGTGATCGTTTCTTCCAGATCCTGTCCAGCCCACTTAGTCGCAGGGAACATGGCTATGATGCTGTTGTCCTCCTTGCCTTGCTGGTCAACTACAGAAAGTATGAGGTAGGTACTCTTCTGGATAACAGAACCGTCACTTCTCTCTACTTTATTAATTTGGCCTCTGGATAATGAAGGCAGCCTACAGTACAGTTTTTAGCAGTTCATGCTATACCATTTATCGGAATATCAGCACAGAGCTACAGAGGTTTTGCGAGGCAGTTATGCTAACTCGCTCTGTCTCTGATGTGTGTGTATGATGTTCATGCAGCTCGCTTTGTGCAAGTAGGAAAGAACTACTCAGGGGATTTGCGTTTCCCTCATGAACCTATTCTGAGGAAGGTCCTTGTGGAAGAGTTATTGTTGTGCTGAACTTGCACGTTTGCCTCTGTGACTGTGTGGTTATACGTGATCTTCAAAGTAAAATGAGCTGTCAGTCATCTTGGGCTTCGGACTGAATTTGTGATTCAGAACCTGACTAGCAGACTGACAAGCCCAGATCTCCGGGAGAGATGGTGAAGCTATGACCAAGGAGTGAACTGGAACATCACAGTTAGTATTTCCAAGAGGAGCCTATCTCTGATTCCTTTCTGAGAAACTTTATTCGTCTTCCTTTTTCTAAACTTAGTTGTGCTACTTTGTGGTTTATTCCCATTTTTTTCTGTTATTCATCACCTTGGAAAAGAAACAATTCAAATATCAAAAACCCCACCTAATGTTGGCTTTTCTTTGCATGAGGCATCGTGCTTTAATAATCAACCTTTTTTTTTTTTTTTCCTCCCTATGCTTAAGAATATCTTAAGATACTTAGCTTGGCAAAAATTGGGAAAGTGCTGGAATACCCCTCCTCAACAGAATGACTGAGAAGAGGCAGGCTTCAAACCTACCTGGTTTTATAATAGGTCTTGTTTTGAATTATGAATAGACCTAGAGAATAGGCAAAGGCAGGAGCTACACTTAGTGTCAACGTAATCCCTGTTAATTGCTGTGAATGTTGTCAGAATCATGAATTACAGATTCTGTTCAGCAGTCTGTGCCATGGTGGCATGGAACAGGAGCGTGGAGTTTGGTTTCAGTATATGGCCGTGAGGGAAAACTGTTGGGAATGCTATGGGTAGGGTTACTGCCAAGGGCAGACTGGAAAGACCAGAGGCCGCATTGTAGCCTTCAGGGCAGGGAGGAGACTGTGTAGTCCCATCCCTGAGCTCCGGATCTCTGTGTGCTCTGAGTACGTGAGACTTGCTCTCTGCAGTAGCTTGCTGTAGGGTGTTGAGTGCTTTGATAAACATTGTCCTGGATGTCTTCAATCTGGGCACCCACAAGAAATCGTGCTGATGTTGAAGTCCAGCATAACCCGAGGCAGACATGCAGCAAGCTTGAGTAGTTCATCCAGCAAGGTTGAGAGCAATTTGATAAAAGGTTTTGTGTGATGGCTGCCTGACCCTGCCCTTTGTAAGCAGCGCTACCAGCAAAGCCTGTAGTAATGCGGTTGTAATCTTTGTTCTTAAGCACAGTAGCTGCTTCCATTTGCTGTTCTTCGGCCCTTAGGAGTCGGTTTGCCTGGTTGTCAGTTTATCATAGCATACTTTCAAGCCTCAAATCCTTTGGAGTTCTCTTTTTAGTTAACTCTGCTGCAGTTGGTATGTTCCCTCTTGTTCTGTTTTTTTTCCAGCTGCTTAAGAAAATCTAATTAGGCTGAAAATTCATTAGTTGACTATGATTTTGTGTCTGTCTTTAATGTGAATACCAGCGTGTTTTGCATCAGGATGTCCTTTCATATTTTTGGAAGGTGAATTTTGTAATCTCCTCTCGAATTCCCTGGGGAATATCTGCCCACGTTTTCATTACCAGTGTAGCTGAGATCTTGGCTTGATCATTAACTTCTGTTCTAGGAGTAAAAATGATCTACATGTCTTTAAAGGTTCCATGTAAAGGGATGTCCCTGATCTGAAACCTAATAATGTAAAAAAGTTGTTCCAAGTATGTACTTCTTCAAGTCTTCAGCTATAGTTTATGTTAGGTTTTTTTTAACCATAGTCGTGATTTCAGAGGAAATATTTTTTACCTCAATACTGTGTGAGGGAAACATAAATTGACTGTATCAAGAAAATGGTGAAGCCAAGCGTACACAGAAGACTACCAAGCAGACTGTGCTGTGAGGAAGAGCATTATTTGATCATTTTCAAAGTGTTCTGAGGGGTGGCTACTAGAATAGCAAGTTAAAACATAAAATCAGGTAGTAACTTTTAAATAGTTAGGTTCCTTGATAACATTTAGCTGGAAATTCCTTTGCCTCATGTTCCACCTGTGCGAATTGCATATTCTTTCTTCTGCTAGGCAGAGCTGAAAGAAATTAATCAACATGTGGGGTTTTTTTCCCTTTGCGCGCTTGTCTGGCAGCGTACAGCGTATCTGACAGCCCTTCGTGTCCGGTTACGTGCACTTGCCTCTCCTTGGGATAGTCAGCTGCAGGTGCTGAAGAGGCACTAAGCAATGTTGAAGAGTCAGGAAATGAATATATATGTATTTTTTTAAAGGTCTTACACAATTCAAATTATTTTAAATGAGTCTCTAACAAAAAGAGTAAATATTCAAGAAGCTCCAGTTCCTGCAAGATGGCCTGCTTGCAGAGGAGATGGCCGCTTCAGGGCTGGCAGCAGAGCTGCTGAATCATCCCTAACGAGCGTTCAGGGAAAAGCCTTGCAGAGTGGACTCTGGCCTGTGTCTGTGTTACACATGTGAAGATAAGTTAAGCACCGAGCTAGGGATTATACATGTTCACCTTGGGTGTTTTCTGCTTTATTTTCCTACCAAAAGATTGTTTCCCTTAGAACCACAGAATGGTTTGGGTTGGAAGGGACCTTAAAGACCATCTCGTTCCAACCCCCCTGCCATGGGCAGGGACACCTTCCACTAGACCAGGTTGCTCAAAGCCTCATCCAGCCTGGCCTTGAAGACAGCCAGGGATGGGGCATCCACAGCTTCTCTGGGCAACCTGTTCCAGTGCCTCACCACCCTCTCCATGAAGAATTTCTCCCTGATATCTAATCTAAACCTCCCCACTTTCAATTGAAACCCGTTACCCCTTGTCCTGTCACTACAGGCCCTTGTAAAAAGCCCCCCCCAGCTTCCTTGTAGCCCCTTCAGGTACTGGAAGGTGCTATAAGGTCTCCCCGGAGCCTTCTCTTCTCCAGGCTGAACAAGCCCAACTCTCTCAGCCTGTCCCCATAGCAGAGGGGCTCCCGCCCTCTGAGCATCTTTGTGGCCTCCTCTGGACTCACTCCAACCGGCATTAGGTTTGTGTTGGAGGGTTGGAGGTACATTTGGGAGCACGGAGGAGATCTCACTCCCCCTGCCAGACCTGTGTGCTTCTTCATCTACCACTTGCTTTGCATGGCATGTCTCACCTGGGGATTGCTTTAAAAATTACCTGGTAATGGTCTCCCCTACAGCTTCCACCTTCATTTCTATGAGATTCTCTGCATCAAATGGTGGGTAGTTTGTGAAGGACACCTTGGATATTCCCAGGTTCCAGGAGCTTGTACCTCGTCACTGACAAGAGGACCCTAATGCCATAGTGTGTTACCTGATGGCAGTGGTAGGAACAGACACGTGTTCTTTGAAGAGCTGAGAATCATATTTTTGAGTTCTTTCTGGAGGCAGGTGGAGACAGAAGCTGTTTCTGAGTTTGTGTAACCACTTCACCGACACACTTGGAAGTTTTCCAAATGCTTATCAACCACTTTCCAAGGCTGTTGCATGTTTCTGTGTGTGGAGCGGCAGGCGAAATTTAGACGTTTTAAAGTTCCGCTGTGATTCCCAGCGAGAGGGGGACTGAAGCAGCAGGAGTAGAGCAGGGGAGCAGGCAGGGACCCCGGGTGGGCTTAGGGGTGCCCTACAACTTGCAGGTTGCTGGTGTTCATCATGGATGTGCAGAGTAATGCTCACAGACAATAACTGGAACTGTTGGCTTGCAAGGAATGGCCAGGAGCAAGCTGCCTGTCCTGCGGGCAGCACAGAAATTATTCTCATCACACTGGTACAGGCTCGCATGCTCAAAGGCACTAGAAACTGCCTTGTCCCATACGGAGTAATGTGGCATGTGCATTACAACGAGTCATCTGCCTGCTGCGTAAGGAGTTAGGGAAGCCTAGAGGAGGCATGGAATGCATCAGGGGAATGGAATACTTCAGACAGGAATCATTAAACAGACCTGCAGATATGGAAACGACTATTGAAAAGAGAGGGCAGAGGTCTGTAGCAAGCAAGGCCAGCTTCCTGATCCCGTCAGCCGGGCACACACAGTTGCTGCCGAGAGACAGGAGACACGGAGCGTGTGTCTGGGAAAGTCATGGGCAGTGGGAGCATCAAGAGTTGCTCACAGGTTGGAGATGACAACGAACCCGCTCCCTCTCCGTGATGGGACAGTGTGTATGACCAGGTCTCAGGGCAGCCTGGTGCCATTGGACAGTGCAATATCTTCCAGTCTGTTATTCCCCACGCCTGGGAATGTGGATAACTCCGCAGCCTCTAATCCAGTGTAGCCCTGCGGCCCATTGCCCAGAAAAGCCCCATCGCTTTTATTGGTCACAAGCCCCAGGCTGGCTTCTCTTCTGCAGAGGGCTGTGGTGTGGAGGCATTCTTCTCCTTGTTGTGTAAGGAGAGCAAGAGGATGGCTGAAATTAGCAAAATGAGGATATATTTACAAGGATGGATCTTAATCTATATTTAATTATAAGTTTGTGAAGCTTGCTTCTGCTTTACTGATACTGACTAAATTTAATTTCTGAAGGGAGTGTGGTTGCACAGAGAGGACCATATACTGTTACTCAACAGGAGCCTCTATTCCAGCCTCAAGGAAATGTCTTCGTGTGCTTGGTGCACAGATGGGTTCTGTGTGGGTTTTCTGTCTTATTTCTGAGGCAGGGCTGCGGGCTGCTGCGGGCAGCCTCACAGACTGGCTGAGCTTCATTCTGCTCCCATCAGTTTCTTTTCTGAACCAAAAAGAAAGCCTGATCCTCCCAAAGTACCAAATAATAGTGAGAGTGGTGTTTATGGATCAGCAAATCAGTCGGATAACTGTGTAACTTGTAGGGCTGCATCTCATGCATGCTTTGTGGTTTATTCTTCCCATCCACTTTGGACTTACTACATAGAGCCTGTTCTTCTCTGTCCTGGTTCCAAATCAACTTTGTTAGCTTTCCATGACACATGTAAACCAGGAAAAAGAAATGTACATTGCTAATCTTCCTAATTTATTAGGATTTATCTTCATAGATGGAGCCTGTGTGCTGTGTTCAGCTAGTTCTCCAGAGACTAGCTCTCAGTGGTGTAAACTGCCGGTGTTGAGCTCTGACCCAGGAGCAGATGAGTCTGTAACACTGTCATGCCTTTCTGGGTCCACCTTCCTTTACGCAATCTTTGCAAGGTGTTGCGGCAGGGAGATAGCGGAACGCTGATGTTCAGTCCCAGCTTCGCTGCTTGTTCCTGCTGCGTAACGGTGTGTGTGTCACAGATAACAGGCTTGCAGGACAGCTGCTCTATTTTGCTGACAGATGAGCTGGTGGAGGAGCAGAAACTCCTTCTTCTCAATAAAACCAGGAGACTGGCTGGCTGAGCCGGTGAAGAGAAGGTGTCGCAGGCGTAACGGCCTCAGTGTGTGCTGCGACTCCTGTTTCTTTGTGTGCACTCTGCTTTGTGGGATGGGGAGAGATTCTTCCCGGGTGGTTGGGTAAAGTTGGAAAGATAATAGTGTGTTTTTCCTGAAGGCTGAGCTTAAAACCAATGTTCTTTCTTCCTTCTCCGCCCACCCTGAGCAGTCAGTGAATCCCTACATTGTGAAGCTCTCCATCGTAGATGATGAGGCCACGCTCAATGTGAGTATCTGACTTGATTCCTCTGTGCTGCTGGGGATGCTCGTTCACGTGTGGCGTTAGTGTAATAAATGCAGTGGTGTCTGGTAGAAAGAAGACCTAGGGACGGTGCTGCTGTGAAGAACACCAGTGCAGTGGGTCTCTGCTCTAACTTCATGCTTGCAGTAGGTTAGGCAGCTCGTGATTTGGAAGGTTGGATGACCAGTTGAATGGTGGGGGTGGTTAAAAAGCTAGATAGCAAGGGTCGTGCTAATGCCGAGCTGTTACACGTTTGTGAGCTATGCACTATTCACTGTCACATGCCAAAGAGGCACAAGACAGCTTAGGCCAAAGGAGGTCTCGTTTCTAGTTCTGTCATTCAATTTTACAAGTCTGCAAGTCAGTTCTTGTAGCTCGGTGGGAGCTTGTACCTGAGCGAAGAGTCCTGCGACATATTTTGGGTGGTAGCCACTGCCTGAGTTTGGTATCCAGGCCTGGATAGCAAGTGGCAGCACACGGAGCTATGCGAGGTCTGGACTTAGGAGCTGGGCCTACAAGGAGGCTGGGGGGGACTTTTTACAAGGGCCTGTAGTGACAGGACAAGGGGTAACGGGTTTAAATGGAAAGTGGGGAGGTTTAGATTTGATATCAGGAAGAAGTTCTTCATGGAGAGGGTGGGAAGGCACTGGAACAGGTTGCCCAGAGAAGCTGTGGATGCCCCATCCCTGGAAGTGTTCAAGGCCAGGCTGGATGAGGCTTGGAGCAACCTGGTCTAGGTGAAGGTGTCCCGGCCCATGGCAGGGGGGTTGGAACTAGATGATCTTTAAGGCCCCTCCCAACCCAAACCATTCTATGGTTTCTGTGATTCTTGAGGCACGAAGTAAAAGGCAGGCTCCATGCTAACCAAAGGGTGAGAACAATGATTCTGTAAATTAGCTGGACAGAAAGGAGGATCAGTAGCTGTGGAATGATGGGTGCTGTTTGCAAGAAGTGGAAGGGTTGTTGGTGTTTATGGCCTTTGTTTTGAACTTTTGGATGTCCTTCCTCTGACACCAGCTTCCTTGTAAAGTTCTCGCCACTTTGAGGGTTCTTGAGTGAGTAAGCTCTGTCTGGAGGTCCAAGAGGAGTAAAAGTTCTCTGTTGAAATTAGGAATTAGATATTAAGCTTGGTATCTTGATTTTGGGGTGGTATTTTTGTTGCATGCCTTAATAGTTCGAACAGCTTCAGGAGAAATTCTTCATAGCATGCTAGGTTATCTGGGGGAGGGGGGGCAGCACTGCTATATGTGTTCAGTGTATGATTTCCAGCACTGAGATTTGTAATGTAAAGATTTTTAAATGCCTTTTTTTCAGGGGATGGGACTTGTAATTGCCCAGGCTTTATCGGAGTATAACAGGTAAAACCTAATTGTCTCTTGTTTTCGATGCGTGATAGTTGCTGTGCATTTCCACAACCTTTTTTTGAGTGTGTTCAGGCACTTGTTTATCACCAAACAGCTCTGATGCACCTGGAGAGGCAGGGAAGAGTCTTATGCTTTGAGGTACTTGGGCTCAGTTGTTCCTCTTGCTGCAAGTGTAACTGCGCCTGTACCAGCTGCGCTGACACGCTTCAGGAGGGATCTTGCTGTAGGGGAATCTAGCTGTTGTCTGGTTTTACTATTGTGGGATTTACCTCAGTGTGAACCTTGTGTAAAATCTCAGTCCCAGGTGAAAAGGTAAATGATTTGCTGAGTACTTCTCTGTTAGATTTAACTCAGACCTGATCTAAACCAAACAAATGCATCCGGGACTGTCCGCATGCCAGATACGAGATGAGCACAGGATGTGTGCTCTTGCAGACAATGGGAAGCATTAACTGCTGCTGAAGAAAGGCCCAGAAAGCCAGCAGCAGGAGTAGCATGTTCCCAGCCTCTGCTTCATAAGCAACAGCACAGCATGTGTTTTTCCTAAGTAATAAGTGCTTCAGAATAATTTGGAAACTTAGAGCAATTTCACCACAGCAACCCAAGACTTTTTGTGCATTAGGGTTCCCCAAACAGCCCAGAAAAAAGTTTTGATTCCTTTGAAGGCCTGCTGTTGCAGGTATACAGATGACTTCCAAGATCAGCAAATCATGTCAGTGTGTTTAATGGAGTATTATTGGAGTTAAGCAGAAAAAAAACCTCATCCACCCAACTTCCTTCATTCTGACAAAAGCTACCTTGGACTGTGACCTGTGTTGTTTAGCTGCTGCTTTCCACCTTCCCCCCAAAAATTTCAATTGTTTTCTTTGCACGTGGCATCGTGTGATGGGATTTCTGTTTGAAGGACACGCTAAGTGGCCGTGGGAGCTTTGCTGGCCCATTTGAATGCAAAATGAAGGAACTGAGCATAATTCTGAGGTACCCGACCTATTTGCTGAGTATGCTTACCCCAGTCCCAGTCGCTTCGCGTACTCCAGGCCTGTGGGGTCAGGCCATGGACCCTGACGGTCCTCATGGTTTCTCTTTGCCATAGGGTGATCGACTGTGGTTAGTCTGTAACAGATGATGGTGGAAATGAAACTGCTCTGTGGTTACTGTGTGTGTTCATGTGGTTCGTTACTGTTTTGTCAGGGCAGGACAAAATTTCAGAAAGTCACCTGGTCCCTTTCCTTCAGCGTTAGCCCAGGCTGGATGTCTGCTCTATACCAGCGCAGGCGTCAGTCAGGCTTGCATCTTTCAGCAACCCCGCTTCAACTCTAGAGAGTTTACAAATACTTTAATACCCTTCGCCTCTCTCTTTGTGAGTTCTTGAAAAGGGCTTGTGAATATTGAAGCTTTCTCCATCCTGTATCCTTATCAGATAAGACTGTCTTATAGGGATTTAGAAAAAATAACCCTGGTTCCATTTCTAACCCTGAGGCTTCATCCTTATTCCTTTTTGTTCAGGCAATACAAAGATAAGGAAGAGGAGCACCAGAGTGGTTTCTTCTCAGCCCTAACTAATATGGTAAGCAAGGAAGCAGTGTTTTTCTGTTCCTAAAATATGCGCCTTCAATGAAGGTCAGCAGGATGGTGTTTCCAAAACATGTGAGGTTGGGATGTGGTGATTTCTGGAGTAGGAGATGCTTTGGTCCGATCCAAACCAAATACAACTAAAATGGCTGTTTTCTGAGGAGTGTGGTGTTGTCTGGCTGGGAAAGCCCTTTCAAAGGATAAGATCTCTGTTCTGGGGTTGATACTTGAAATTCTTTTCCTTCATCATCTTTATTCTAGTTGACTTTATTTTAAAAATCACAATTATTTGTTGGATTTTCACCAACAAGTTGTCACTCTGCTGATGTAGCCTAAACCAGAGAAGCTGAATATTTCTGTGGCAAAGCGTAGTCCGTCACCAGCTTCAGAGTCTTGTTTCTCAAGCCAGGGTGCACTGTAGCCATGGAGTTAGCTTGGATTCTGCAGTGGGTGGTGTCCGTGTTTTGGGACGGGTATTTCCGAAGGTAATTGTGAATCTCATCCTTGTAGACTATCCACTGTTCCCCTTTCTCAGTTTGGCTCTGCCTTAGTCTGAGATTTAATTGTAGTCTGAGATCCAACTGACAGGAAAATTCCCTGTAGGTAAGGATGGGTCAGTGTTGACAGCTGCCTGTCAGGAGTGACATGGGTAAAAGTGCTGCCACTCTGGGGAAGCAGATGGGAAATTCTCTCTATTGTTCTTTTACAGAATCCAGACTAACTGAGGTTGGGATTGTAGATGTGGTCCTTTTTTTCCCCTCTTTTGTGATTTGACAGGTGAAGCATTAGTCAGTGATAGCAGTGCAAGATGAGATGTGTTTGTAGGTGACCATCCTGTTTCTAGTAAAACACAAATGAGAAAGTTAAGTTATATGAGTGCCTTGGATGAGAACACCTCTCCCAGGGCACTGCTGGTGTAGTTAAATTCATGTCTTCTCTTGTTGCCTAGTAGCTCGCACAAATCCCTCCTGTGCAATTCTCTTTCTTTCCATAGGTGGGCAGCATGTTCATAGCAGATGCTGACGAGAAGATCTCAGTCCAGTAAGTGCCCAGATGTTAGTTACACAATGGGTGGGAACTCACCACGCTGGCCAGTGTGATCCACTCCATCCTGGAGCTGTTCTGATGCAGCAAAGCAAACCAGAGAGACAGTTCTCTTGGAACTGAAGTGGTACCACGTCCCTGCAAACAGTGCGTTCTCACTTCAGCGGGATGGGTGCAGGAGGAGGAGCCACAGCTGAACTGCTTGTAATGAAGTGTATAAAAACCCTCCTGTGGTTTTTATGAGGGTTTTTTAACGTATAATAGGCAGGTTGGAGGTGGCAGATTGGGAAGGGATCGTCTGTGTGATCTTGTCCCCAACAAAATGTTTTATAAATCAAGGGATCAAGTGATAAATGGGAGGGTTGGAGGTGTCTGTAGGAACCTCTGCTCTTATAGCAGTGGACTTTAAAGGGAAAACACTGTTTAAGCAATGAGGGAAACCTTCAGCTAGACGGGAACAAAGACTAGTTGAGCTCTAAAAATAGCTGTTTTTATGGATTACTAAGTATTACTAATAAGTGGCAGAAGACTGGATTGCAGAGGCAGAGTTTTATGGAATTGAAAAAAATTTGTTCTTACAGATGGGTCATGCTTCTGAAGAGCTTTGCTCTTGGGGTTCTCCTCCGGCGTTAGCCCTTAACTAACTGTGCTTTTGTCTGTATCTTTTCCGCAGAACAAATGAAGCAATCCTCCTGGCCCTCTATGAAGCTGTTCACTTAAACCGGAATTTCATCACAGTTCTGGCACAAGTGAGTGTTTTCACTGCGATGCCTGCCCATTTCTTTGGAGTGGATGTCTTTGGAAATGGACTTGGTGACAAGATCAGTTCCCCTGCATACTTGTCATAGGTGTAGATGAGCGTGAAAGATCCCCAGGGCCTGGGTTTATTATACTCTTAGGAAATGCTTCCTGCCTTGCCAGAAAATTAGTTTTGAGGGCACAGCTCATGTTGGACAGAGCCATTTTTCCCGCTGAATGGGAAGGGCTGCGTGGAGTACCTTCTGTGCCCTGTTCACAGAATCATAGATTCGTCTTGGTTGGAAAAGACCTTTAGGATCATTGAGTCCAACCGTCAACTGTTGATACTGCCTTTAGGGAGAGGATGGAGTGGGTGGATTCATAGGGATAAGGTTGCTGCAGATATCAGAGCAATTCATGCTCTTGTTAAGTTAGGGTGGAGGGAGAGAGGCTGATTCGGCTCCAAAGCTGGATGAATTGTCCTGTCTGGGTGCTCACAGACTGCATGTTGTTGTCTTTTTGGGTACCTTTTGCCTCGGGACTCATCGACATGTGACCACTGTAGTTTCAAATGCTCTTTTGTGTTCAAACTGCCTTGGAGAGCCCAACCCCTTTTGCTTGGGAGACTGTTGCTGGAGCATAGCACTCCTCCTTGTTCTGTTTATGGGGAAGAAACAGCTATGGCAGCCTTCTGAGGAGCATTGAGCTGCTCCCTACCTCTGATCACAAACCTCTGGATGCTTCTCTAAACACTGCTTGAGTTTGCAAAGGTGCTTGTTGCTGGGAGACAGATAATGAGTCTCTGATCGGTGATCGTGCTGTGGCTGGCTAGAAGGGTAGCCTGATGTGTTTAGGAAAACCGTTAGGTTTAGGCTTTTAATTGTGGTTTGTAAGGGCTGCTGGTAATCTGGGAGAAAAGGACATCAGCAGTGCAGTTAACACCTTTCCCCAGTTATTTCAGGCCCTCAGGGTGGAGCCATACATCACGGGCTAGAGACTTGGCAGGAGGAGGAGACAGTAGTGGCGATGGAAGACATCTGATAGGCAGACCTACTGCCTCTGAAGAAAGGTGCTGTCCCACGGGTAGTTAATTTACCCAGGTTATTCATTCCTATCGCTTGTGAGCGATCCCTGCTCTTTCATCTCTGTGTAATGCCAACTCAGGCCTTTCTGTGGTCAAGGTATCCCTGAGGGAAGAGACACCTTTGGCAGGGAAAAGAGTAGGACAGGAAAAGAGCAGCTAGAGTGAAAGCTCTTAAAAATTAAAGGATAAACTAGTTAATTTGTGAAAGTGATAGCTGAAGTAGTCACTGATCAGTGGGTGCCATTGAAGGAGAGGCCTGATTTTCTAGGGTGGGTTGTCTGTAATCATTTAAGAGAGAGCTGTCCTTTGAAAAAAACCTCATAGAAGCTGATGAATACTCTTCTCTCCGTTGGTGCCGTTGCTAGGGACTGCGTGGATGACTACCTGCTGCTCTGTGGGCACAGAGGAAGAGCAGGGCTGCGGTTGTGTTGGTGCCTGAGGTGTTGAGGCTTTGGTATACTTACCAGCTTGTTGGTCCTCCGTGTTTGCTGCTAGGTGGCACTGTTATCTCTCAGCTGACCCTTAGTGACTGGGGAAAAGAAAGGTAAACACCACAGCAAAATCTGTGGAAGCAAGCCTATTTTCTGTAAGATTTTTCAATGGAAAAACTGTGTGTTAAAGTTGAAATCGGCACCTGTAACGATTTAAAATTGTCTCTAAACTGTAATATGTGTGTCTGCTTCCCATAAAATACGTGCATTTGTAGTTGCTTATAAAATGCGATATTAAAGACAATGTGGAGGATACCCACTTGTGAAAAATCCTACGGATCTAACCTCAAATCGGCAGTTCTGCATCCCTTTCTTTTATTTTGAAATTGTGATGATATATTAAGGCAGATGATACATTTATGTAAAACTTGCCCTATGAAATGGACACTTTGCTTGGCAGCCAGACTTAAAATAGCATGGCAGATTGCCTACAGTCTCACCAGTGTGGATAGATCCGGAAGCCTACAAAGAGTAAAGTCAAAGCAGTAATTAGGCAGTCAACTATTAGCAAAGATGAAATGGGGAGAGTAACTACTGATGGAAGCTGAGAGGATCGATGATGATAGTGTTATTTATGTTATGCACTCTTTTCCCGCAGCCCCTGGGCTTTATGGTGAGGCAGGGAAGTAATAAATTGCCATCCTCTTTGAATATGAGCAGGTGGAGGGCAGGAGTGAGGAGGATTTGCTTTTAGGAAGAGAAATAAAAGGATCTTGGTGGAAGACTTCAAACGCCACACCCTTGGGTTGTTTTGGAGGGAATTAGAAGTTATCAATGGTGTAGGCTTCTGCATAACTTTTCCCACTGGGGCAGGGCATGTTACCTGTCTGCTGGGGACAGCCACCACTGCCTGATGTATTTTTATGTTTTGCGGAGTGAAGAAAACGATGTGCAGTTTATTATGGCCAGGGTCGGGAAGCGTAGGCTTGCTTTTGGGAGGAGAGGCTGGAGTTTCTTGAGACGTCATTACCGGCAAAGATTGCGTGAGAGCGTGGAGCGGTGTGAGTAGCCATCGGTGTGAGTAGTGCCCGGGGAAGCTACTGACCTCTGCGTGTCTGGGCATTTGTGTTTTCTGGTAGAGCCATCCTGAGATGGGGCTGATGACAACACCGACAAGCCCGATCCCAGCGACACCTGTCACTCCACTCGGAACCACCCCGCCTTCTTCGGATGGTAAGGAATGTGATGACCTCCTGGGGAAAAACTCTTAGAACTGTAAAATAACGAGCAAAGCGTTTTCTCAAGATGGCAAGTAATGCTCTGGCTGGAGCAGATGTGACCTCTTCCTGGAACGACTTGCCTTACTAAACATGAGCAAGGTTCTGTGACTCAAGTTTATTTCTGTTTTGCCTTATACGTTGCTCAGTGAAATTATGCTGATATTCCTTCTGAAAGCAGTGCTGCCCCGGTATCTGCATGAAGATGCACCCAGCCCGTTAGTTATCCCATGTAGGCTTTTACTCACGGATATTTCCAGTGTCAGGTTGCCTGGGATTATTTGTCACTGGAACAGATTTACAGAGAATCTCCATGGATTCCTGCTTGTCACTAATGCACTTGTGCCCAGATATGAATTAATTGGGATTTGAATCCAGCCTGGGTGTGGAGGTATTCCTCCCTCCTGTTGCCCTTTCCCCGACAGGATTTGTAAACAACTGCTTGCCTGAAGATCTTCCTTCTAGACGCGATGTTACGTGTCCACATAGATACGCTTTGAAATCATCTAAAACAAAAACCCCTTTTTGTTTAAGGTAGATATAGCCTCATGTAGGAGCAGGAATCAAATGGCTGTTGTCACGTACTTCAGTGGCATCCTCTAGGTCTGAAGAAAGTGTTTAAGGAAGGAACAGAATCAGTTGGAAATATTTCTGGGGAAAAGCAGCCTGGGTTACTCTGTTGTGTCAGCTGTTCGGGTCATTTGATATCCTAGTTAAGGATGATCCTCCTTGTGGCTGAATTCTGTCTGGTTACCATGGATATCAAAAGCTTCAGTTAAAAAGCCCCCTATGTCTCAAGCCTCCCTGTGCATGTAAAATGTAGAGGGACGGGCATCTTGTGGGCTTCTGTTCAACGTGTTGGTTGCCAATGTATCCGCCCACACACCAGATTACGCAACTGATGGAATTTCTGCTTACCTACATCTACAGCTTGCTTCCACTCTCCTTCTAATTTACCAGAACCCAAAAGCAAAACAAAAACTCCATCGTGCTTTCAGCAGAGGCGCTGCTCTTGTGAAGCTCGAGGCCTCTTGCCGCTCGTGAGGTTGCTCAGGTTAAGGAGGGGAGCTGCTCCTGGTGTACAGCAGTCACCTTGGGAAGCATTCTTAATTTCTGTTTGCTGTCACCTTCCTGATCTTACAGGGGTTTTTTTGAGGACCTCGACTTGATTTAGTTTGGTGGTGCTTTAGTATTGCTGTTATTTTAAAGGTATGTCAGAATTTTCCTCATTTCCGAAGGTCTTGCAACTCAGCTGTAAAATTTGCCTATGGCTGAAAGTTAGCAAGATGCTTTTTGGCTTTGGAATGAAAAGATTGCTTTCTTCTCTTTCCTGCACTTAAAAAAAAATATGTAGCTGAGCTACGTTCAAGTTACAACACCACGTAGAAATCCATCTATGGGTTTCAGGCATTGTTTTGTTTTATGCTGACTGGAATTAAAAAAGGGTTCATATTCTGGTTTGAAATTTCTCTGGCTGTTAGTGTGAATTAAGACCTTTTAAAGTTTCACAGTGTGTGTTAAAAAAGGCAAGGTCTGTAGTGTGAACCAGGATAAGCAGTGATGTGTTCTTCCAAGTGATTGCTTCCTTTTTTTTAAAAAAAATTAGACTTTTGCTAGAAACTGTTGATCCATAATATGTAAATCAAGTGTGCCTGTCACCATAGTTATCTAAATGTCAGTTTGCTTACTGTTGTTAAATATTCATTTGCTGCGTTCATTGTAACAGCTCCAGAAGGACCCACTGGGGATATAAATACATTTTTCAGACTTTTAGCTAAATCTTTGAGCTATTCATAATATTGGGAGTGAAAAAGCTTCCAGTCTCATTGCACAGACTTTTCCAACAGACTGGGCACCTTAGCAACGTGTCAGGAGCCCCAGAGCTTCCAGATGGAATGGACTAAACCAGCTTATGCTTGGGGATGTGCAGCCTTTGGAAGCTAAAAGCCCTATTATCATTTCTTTGATGTGATTCGAACAGCGAGGTTACGTTGATCTATTTGGCCTGTTGTTTCCAGGAGCTACAGTTTTGTATTCAAGGTGACCGTATAATCCTGAGCTCCACAGGAACCTTTGCTGTGCTCTGGGCCTCGCAGTGCTCACTTTAAAGGATCCTGCAGTTTACTGTTGGTTTGTCTCCTTTGGCCTTCCGTGCCTGCGTTTGACCCAGTCTCAGGGGTAAATGAGCCTGACTTGCCTCCTTGCAGGGTTATGAGATATAAGGCTTGAATTGTGAATGGCCTTGTTTGTTAGAGCAGGCTTTTCTCTGAACCGAAGTACAGCTGTGTACGGGATCACACCACTTCCCCTCCGAGCCCTGAACTTAGCCATCCAAAAATCAGGTGTGAGCAGCTCCTCACGTCTTGCAAGGTCCAATTTCATCGTAAATACCTTTTTCTTTCCTCAAGAGTGAGAAAAGCCTTGAGCATTCCTGAGGATAGATGGAAAAGAGATAATGTATTTCTTAAGATGTGTTGTCCTGGTGGTCTGCAGATCTGTTTCCAGTGCAAAGGGAGCGCTATCTTTATGGCTTGAGAAGAGAGCGTGCCTTCTGGCGATCAGAGTTCAAACCACCTATGACCTGCGTGTGAAAGCCTGCGAGTCTGAGCTCATAGACCGCCAGAACAGTAGTGTTTGTAATCATGTCAGGGCAGGCACGTAGACCTGCAAAAGATCCCCTTGACTCCTTCAGTCTGTTGCCTTGTGCTTGCAGGCACATCATCATAGAATTCCTTAAATCTATCAAACTCTGCCTTAATTTGTTTCCCAGTAATTCCTGTTGGGCGGCAGTTTCGCATCGTGTTCCTTGGTTAGAAACTTCCCAACCTGCATTTCTTGTCAGTTTATTCCCATTTGTCTTGATGCTATCCTTACTTTGGAACACAGCTGGCTCTTCTTTGTACGTTGGCTTACTCACCTGTGTATTTGCTGTCTCATAAGAAGGGCGCTCTGTTTCTCAGATCAACCTACTGGCCTTTCTCTGAACTTGTTCTAGTCTGAGTTCGTCCCCTTTGAATGTGGGATCAGCCTAATTAAGCGGAGTGTTCAAAACAAGGTCTCACCAGCACCTTGTGCAGGGCGTTCCAGTGTTTGTATCTCTGCTGAAAGTGCATTTCTGGGTATGTTGCAGGATCACATTCTTCCATGCTTTGTGTTGGTAGCTCATCGGCTCATAATCTGATGGTGTACCATGCTATCACAGCGTTTCGTTTGCAGCTCATGAGCACTCAGCTTGCCACGGAAAGAAATCTCTGAATTCCTGACCTTATAGGTTGCACTGTTGAATTTGATCTTGTATTTACTATCTGGTCCTTGTGTTTATCCTGTTGTTTGTGCGCAGTCTGATGTTCCTCTGTGTTTACGTATCCCAACTTTCTGCCATTAGCAGATCCATTAGGAAGCAACTGTTTCTTGTGCCCAGTCACTCACAAAAAAGGAAACTACTCACTAAACTGATACCTAAGGAATTCAGTTAGTAACTTCTTCCCAGACTAGTAATTTCTCCAATTGTTTCTCCCTTGCCAGATCTTTGATGTACTTTAAATTTCTCTGTTGGTTCCCACCTACATGCTTCTATCTTAATTTTTCACACAGAACTGTGTTAAGTGCCTTACTGAATTCCTCCCAGACCAGCTCTATCAGTTTTGGTTTGTGTTTGTTTTGTTTTGTCTGAGCTAATTTATCTTAAATTATATCAGACCTACCTGGCAGTATCTGCAGGGAAACACCTGCTGCGTTTTTCCCACTTATCTTTCCACCCTTGGATAGTTCTGGTAAGCTATCAGTGGGCAGGCTGGGAATGGCCCTTGGACAGCTCAGGCTCAGCTATCGGGAAAAATGTGGCTTACTCATGTGGGAGAGGTTTGACAGCTCATAAACGCGGTGCTTGGGGGGTACACAGGGATTGAGCAGCAGGCACATGGTGCAATTAGCTGAGTAATTGAGATAGCTTCTTGTAAAGCCTACGGCAGGCGGTGTCCAGTGTTCAGGCGTCAGAAGTGCAGCTGGTGGTAACACGGGGCATATCCTAGAGCAATGCCAACACACTGCTGTTCTGCTGCAGGTATGGGAAACACATCTCTGCTCCCTGCTGTGTTGTGATTTCTCTAGCACAAGCTATGATTGCTTCTGATTCTTGATTTTTATAAAGCTGCTCTTTCTACCTCTCTTTTCGACCATTTTGGTCATGCAGTAATTGTTACATTACTGTCTTGCCTGTTGCTTCTGCAAGAGAGGCTGCTGCTGGGAGGGGAGGATGGAATTGATGTGGACCTTTCGGAACTGTAATTCCAAACCAGCTAAAACCGAGTAAGGTCCTTGCTGGTCACATTTGTTTCCAAACTGAGAACGCTGTGAATGTTATCTGTGTTGGTTGTAAGAATTAATTGGATATCGGTGAGATCTTGAGCTCCCTTGGCTGGGAATGTTGATGAGTGCTAACACAGCAGGCTGATCTCCCGGGGTGGGGGAAGGACAGGACAGGGAAGGGTATCTCTGCTGGCTACCACAACCTGCCCTTAGAGGAGGAGAAATGTCTCTGAGGGAGTGGTACCAGTCTTTGAACAAAATCGCTGCTGGTGGTCATGAAGGAGGAGGAGGTCAGGTGACCCTGCAAATGAGCTAATCCTTCCCCAGATCTGTGAGTCTGTATCTTGGTTCTCTGTATAGTTATCTCTTGTATTTGTGGAGGGTAAACGTGTCTTATCTGCTTTGTTCCAGTTATAAGCTCTGCCGAGCTGCCTTTGGATGCTGATGTGCAAACTAGCAACCTGCTGATAACCTTCTTGAAATACAGCTCGATTGTGATGCAGGACACAAAAGGTAAATACATTCTGTTGATGCAGCAAGCAGGGCTTCTTGAAGTCAGGGGGGCATAAGAACATGTCTAGTGACTCCACAATCAAGAATTAACTGGAATCCCTTTAGAGGACTGAAGATTCCACCTTTTGAGAAAATTAAATGATATCTTATTGCGAGATAAGAGTTATGGGACTAGGAGACACCTAATGCTGGCAGGAGAGAAGTCAAATATGGGAAGAATGTAATAATAATAATAGCACCTAATAACCAAGCCTGTCTCTCTGCAGGAGGTGTGAGCATATCTGATTCCCAGCTGTCAGTCGGAGAGGGGAAGTCATGTACCAGAGAACTCTGTTTTTTAAGAACATTTAGAAGCTGACGCAGGGGGCAAAGCTTAGCGTGAGGAGGAAATATTTCCTTTGTCCTTTGGTACTTGCTGGTTAAACAGGCAGCTCTCTAATTATAAAGAGGACAGCAGTACCTTACACTGCGCTGGCAGTAATTTGCTCGAGAAGATACATTTCCATATTATGCTTATTGTTTCTCCTGATAGCTTTGTGGGGGTTAATTTCAGCTGGCTGGAGTTGAAGTATTGCTTCATCTCCCGCTCAAGGTACCCAAGGGTGCTGTTTGCCCAGCGGCTGTATAGGCAGGGCCATCGTGTGAGCATAACAAGTGTTCTTCGTACCATATTGGCAGCCGATTACCCACTTTTGCTGTTAGGTTAGATGTGACAACCGAACTAAAGTAGGAAGGTAGCTCCTGAGCTCTGATACATTGGTTACTGAACTTCACAAATGCTTGGCACTGAATAAGAGAGCCCGCAGGAGGGTTTCCTTGTACCTACCAGCAAGCAGTGAAATTGTGCCTGGCTGTCTTGTTCCGTGTGCAAGCTAGCAGAGGAAAAAGTGAATAATTGAAATTAGGACCGAAAGGGACTTCATGAAAATATCTAGCACGTCCCTTAAAACTGAGGCAGAACCAAGGTTACCTGTATCTTTTCTCAGAGGTGTTGCTAAGAGGTTGGCTGAAGACACTTTGGTAGCGGAGCATCGTTTTTACGCTATCCATTCCAGTGTTTAACTACCCTTAGTGTGAGAAAGCATCATGTGCCTCCTAAACGCTTTGCTGTGGTTCAAATTCATTACTAGTTATCTTCTCCAAGATAAATATTGAGAACAGATTATTTCTTTCTTCTTTGTGTCAGTCCTTATCTGTTTGAAGTCTGCTTTCATGTTTCCTCTTGCTTTTGACTTTAAGCTAAACCATGTCAATCTCTGCTCAGTCATTTCTTACAGATTGCACACAAGGAGGGCTTACCAGCTCTCTAATCATTCTCATTTGCTTTTCTCAGGGTCTCTCTTGCTGATCTAAGTCTCTGATGGAACAGTTTTGTGTTTTTCAATTTAACTTCTGCACTTATTAGTTGCTGTAATATGGAAAATCTGCAAAGGGCCTCAGAAACTGCCAAACTGGATTAGTTTCAGATGGATTGAAATCTGATAGAGGGGATTCCTTGCTAAACAAGCCAGGGAGAGAGGAGTTTATTCTGGTACGAGGCAGGAGTTGACGTTTCTTTCTTTACTTTGGTTCTAGCTTGTATAACATTTGACATCTGTGTGGCTGGTAGACCTAATCTCCTTGCTGCCACGGTAGTACGTGGCGATCAGCTCCACTGACTGATCATTAAAAAAAAAAAAGTGGGTGTTTTCCTGTCCTTATATTTTGATGACACATGGGGCCCTGCCTAACTTTTGTTTTTCTTCTGGTGTAAGACCGGTTATGTGACACCAATATAGTGACAAGAGAAGGATGAATAATGTACTCCACGTGTCTTGACACCGGTGACAACACTCAGAAGGGAGACTGGTTTGTTCCACATCCAGGACTAGACAGTTGTTTTGGTCCTGTCCCAGAGAGCATAATTTAATAGATTGCATTTGCTAGATCCTCCTTTGTTTTCTCTCATGTCAGTCAGAGGCAGCTGCCTTGGGAGAAACAAAACACCTGCGTAACGTTTTTTCCCATCTGTAACAGAGGGTTCATACTGATAGACCCCCCATAGGAAGTGTCCTGCTTTGTTCCTTTAATGAAGGATGCTGTGACAGCGTGAAGTGCCTGTGTGAGTAACTGCCTGCACGGCTGCCCCATGCTGCTGAAAGTGGCACGATGCTCACAACGTGCTGGCTGAAGGCAGAGTATTTGGTGTGAAACAGGAGCCTTTACAGATCCCCAGAGAGAGAAGTGGTAGCAGCACCTACAAAAGTATACGGGGAGGCCTTATAGCAGGAAGATAACAAGGCTCCAGTGTATCAGAGTTCTTTGAGGCCATTTCTCCTGCTTTGCTGGAGTAGAAAACTTTTCACTTAAACGTTTTAGCTGAGGTAAGGAGACCTAGGAGAGACTTTTAACTCTCCCATTCCAAAATACCTCTTCGTCTTCCTTAGCGCAGCAAGATGAAATCAGCTCACTTAAGGGCATATCTTGTTAGTAAATATCTGTCCCTCAGCAGCATAGAAAAGAAAACAAAAGAGGCATCAAACTAGACAGAACAGCTAGCTAAGCCCATTCTGGTTTTATAGATTACAGTATATACACTAACCAGAAAAGTGTTTGTAAGAGTGACCTGCAAAGATGCAAGGAGTTTAACTGATGCTGTCTTCTGATTTATACTAAGGACCCTGTCCTCCAAGTTTGACCCTAGGGCGGGTCTTACGCTTCAGGGAGGCTGGTGGAGGTCCCACGGGTGTGCAGTTTAAACTTCCTCAGAACTTAGTTATAAGTGTGTTGTTGTGGTTGGGTTTGTTTGTTTGTTTTTGTGGGTTTGGGTGTATGGGGTATGAGTGGTGTGTTTTTTAGAGCAAAGATTTTAAAGTGAGCTTGATTGGACAGTGCCTCGAACGACCTGATCCTAGCTGGGCCTGCTTTGAGCAAGGATTGGACCAGAGGTTTCTTCCACCCTAAGTTACTCTGACTGTATGTATCTTGTTTTCTCGGTCTTTCAAGGTTAAAATTAAGAGAGAAGAGTTTTAAATAATCCAATTAAAAATGGCATTCTTCTGCCTTAGTCCCTCTATGTGTGAGTCCTTCAGCCCTCCATTTGTCATCCAGGGCAAAAGCTGCTTCAGGTTGTAAGTTGAATAACAAATCGCGAAACCTGATCAGGGTGGAACTCGTTTGGCTTAAAATGCCAAGTCTTTGCAGACTTCCTTCTTTCCTGGCTTTGCACAGAGCAAAGTAGGTCACGTCTCTCAGTACTGGGGTTAAAACCCGGGACTTTGAGTGTAATGCTGCTACGCCGTGCTGTACCTCTGCCGAAGCTTCGCTGCTTGTTTCATAACCTACAGCAAAGGTGACCTTTCTCTTTCCATCTTGCCTAAGCGAGGGAGAAAGTCTTTGCCGTGACAGAGGGACTGGGACTAACCCCAGTATTTAGAGTATCCGTGGAGGTGAAAGTGAATGAGACGGAAGTCCTAGTGCTGTTGGAGGTTCAAATCGGAAACCTGACTTTTGGCACAGACTGACAAATCGGTGGGGTTTAGTGGTCAGGCTGGAGGGTGGGTGCTTGATGAGAGTAATTAGGCTATTAGCTATGGTGGAGGAGTAGGCTGGGCTTTTCTCTTGCTGGAACAGCTCTCTCTCTGGCATTGCTCGTCTCGTGTGGCTCATGGAGAACTTGTTTTTTCTTCTTTGCAGATGAGCACCGGCTGCACAGTGGCAAGCTGTGTCTGATTATCCTGACGTGCATAGCAGAGGTAGGTTTCTGATGTGGAACTGTTCAGCAGATGGTGTGTTACAGGGCTGTATCAGCTGCATGCACATCCCCTGCCTCCTGTTGAGCAGAAGCTGAAGATCCACAGTGGTACTGAGGACCACAGGCACTTAACATTTTGCTAATAAACCTGATGCGGCACTGTTAAAATTGACTTGAAAATTGGATCATCTTATTTGGGTTAGCTGACTCCCAGGGATGAAGAGAGAAAAGAGTGACCCTAAGCCTTTTCTCTTAGCTGTTGAGTGACCTTGTGGTGTGGCTTTTAGATGAGTAATGTGCTAATGGCTCTCAGCTCTGTGCTGTTCACGGTAAACATGGGCAATGCTGTATCCCTTCTGCCTAAGGATACGAGTCTGAAAGAAAGCCACATGGCTGTAGGTCAAGACAAGTCGTGAATCTGGTAGTAGGGTGAGAAAGCAGGATCACAGAGCTGTGTCAGCAGTCCTGGCTGAGTGTGGTCCTGTCTCATGTGAAGTATCTACTAATGGCTTAACTGATACCCTGAATGGTGATTGAGTTTGCAAGACATTTGCATTTTGCTTGCTTGCAAGTAAAGACCTTTCCTTCTTAACAAAGAGTAAAAAGAGTGATGTTGATAACCAGTGTAGGGCTTTTGAAGTAATGTGGCTTCAGGGTGCAGTCTGAAAGGTAATGCATCTGCGCTTCAAATATTTATAATGAATTGGTTTTCAAATATTTATAATTAAGTGGTTTTGGCACTTGAGTTCTTCGGGTGGATGCATAGATAACACAAGATAAGAAATTGTGTTGCTACATAGCAAGGGGATATTTTGGTTCTGGTATTAATGGGAAGGTATATTTATTACCCAACCTGGCTGTGTTATCTGGAGGAACCGCTTTGGTTTGGTCTTGGAAAGAGTTTTGTCCGAAGGGTGGAACAGCTGATAAACCTACCTGCTAGTACTGCAGTAACTTCTGGTGTTATGGGTCCATCTAAATGCCAATATAAACCTTCGTGCACGCAGTCCCAGGAACTCATGTGCTGGAGAACCTTTGCCTGCGCTGTACAGCACTTGTTAAACTCTTGACACTGTGCTAGGTGCAGCCCAGAGTTTGGATGAGCAGAGGAGGAGAATGGAAAATACGTTGCTAACAAAACAAGCAGTGATGCAGACTTGATCTCAAGTGGAATTTGGATCAGGAGGGGTTTACTCTTCTGCGACTGGAGGCATGGGTGGAGACAAGAGGAGGGCTTTCTAACCTTATGTGTTGGGAGCTTTACACTGAAACACGTGTGATTTGAGAGACACGTGGAAGGTGTTGGGCACTTGGTTAGCTATTCATATCTCCTCTTTTCTTGCCCTTTTCAATAGGATCAGTATGCTAACGCTTTTCTCCACGATGACAACATGAATTTTCGAGTAAACCTGCACAGGATGGTGAGTCTTTTCCTCCAGATGGTCTGTTTTCTCTTTGAGATGAGAACACAGAGGGTTTGAGTCCCTGTGTATTGAAAACTGTGTCACAGACACGTAACCTAGATTGCTAAGGCATGTGGAAACCCTGTGAGAAACGCAGTAGTTGGAGCATGATTTTGAAATCGCTCTCAGAATGTCTCACTCCTTCAAAGAACAAAGAGCTGGTTGCCCTGTCGGCGAATTCAGAGGCCGAGGTAGCTGGGGAGGAGCTGCGTGTTATGAGGTCTCTGAGGAAATCGGTGGCACGGAGAGTGTTGTGCCTGAATCTTCAGCATTAGCCTTCATGTGATGTATTAATAACAAGTGCTCTTATTTGGCTTATGCTTCATCCTGGGTGGGGTGATTCACCTTCAGGGAGAAAAGTATTTTTTCCAGAGCCTTTTCCTATGGGAATCCATGGAGGAAGTGTCCCTACCTGGCTCATGAAGCTCTGTAGTTACAAGTAGCTTGAATGGTTATCCTAACGTGATGCGTTCTGTCATTGTGGTACTGGCAAGTTCCACCTCATCTGAGAGTGAAGCAGCACTTGAAAGTATCAGTAGTTCAGGACAGAAACAAACATCTATCTTTAGAGTGAGCATACTGCGAGGATGGTAGTCATTGCCACTTAACAACAAACTTGCCATTCAATTAGCCTTTGTGCTCTGTTACAACAAAGAGCAAAGCCATTTAATACTGCACACGCTGTTAAGAATGCAGATCAGACTTCTGGGTCAGGAGCAAATCCGTGTGTTAACCAAGGGGGAGGAATTGCTCTGTGATGTTGTTGTTGTTGTTTGTTTAGTCCTTTTTTTTTTTTTTTTATTTCTTCCCCATCCTGCCTTCGTGATATAAAAGTGCCCTCTGGTTACACAGGTAGAGAAACGAAATCCCAGTGGTCAGCATGCTGAAAAGCAGGCACAGTTTTGCTCCAGGCCTTTAGGATTAATATAGGTGAGAGAGCAATTTGAGAAAAAGACAAAGAGAAGCCTGTGCTGATGGTGCTATTTGCATGAAAAATACAGTAATACACAGCATGTCACTTCAGGCTTCTGACAACTCCTTTTCATCTTTGTGTGTTTGAAGCCGATGAGACATCGGAAGAAAGCAGCAGACAAGAACCTGCCCTGTCGCCCGCTGGTGTGTGCGGTGCTTGGTGAGTATTGTTAGAGTACGTGGGTGCTTGAGGTTCCCGAAGCATCTTCTGAGCTACAGTAGGAGATTTGTGGATTAAGGGGAGGGGTGGATGGACTTAAAAGGAGGACAGTTACTACTGAAGATATTTCCAGCAATGGGCTGTCCATCTCTGCACGTGGCTGCCTCACAGAGGTGTTAAAATCAAGATTGCTGCTCTGTAGCAAGAAATCCTATCCACATTAAGTTTTGCAGAAGCCTCTTGGCCTCTTCTACCTGAATTAGTAACAACAGGGAGGGCAGTTGATCAATAAATTCAATATTTTAGGTGAGTGTGGTGACAGTGAGTGACAGGTACTTTGTAGATGATACACTGAGGGCAAACCTATGGAAAGGACAGGCATTGGAATGTGTTTGTGGGGAATTTAGCCTTTTCTGAGCACAAACCCAATAGGAATGTCAGTAGCTAGGGTTGGGTTTTGCCTGTGGATATGGAGGCACAGCTGAAAGCTTTTCCTGCAGCACACAATTAAATTGTGACACTCACTGCTGTGGAGGCCAAAAGCATAAATAGGTGCAGAACTGGACAGAACCTGGAAGCCTGATGATATGGAAGCAGCCTCAGACCCCAGCATTTTCAAACAGGTGATGGTTGAAGCCAAGGTGCAAGAGCTGCGCGAGGAATCTTTCTAGACTCACCAGATTTCATGCTCTTGTTCCGGAACCTGTTTTTAGTCACCAGGGAGCCACACTGGGCTGTTGGTGCCCTAGGAGGTTGCATCTCAGTTGTTACGGGTGGCATGGGTTAAGCATTTTGTGTTGGGGTTGTGCTGGGCAGAGAACACAACACGTTCGGTTAGCATTTATTAGCTGAATCACAGTAACTTACCACTTTCAATTGTATTTCTGTGTTCTGCCTCTTCTCCTCGCACTGGGAGCCCTTCAGTGTTAGAGATGTTCTTTTTTCTTTTATTTTTTTTCCCCTGAATGAGTCTTGAGCAGCAGTTTAGCCTGCGTTGAGATCCAGCTAGGTTTACTTGCTTCAGAACTTGTTTTAGGGAAAAATAGGTGTTCTCTGCAATGTCTTCTCATTGCTTAAACATCTAGGTTGTGCATAATTTCTGGTAAGAATGATTTTCTAAAACGTGCTTCTCAATGGGATTTTTCCATGAGTGGCAAGGCTTTGAAATACGAGAGCATCACAATTCGTGGTGTATTCTTTATTTGGCTAACAGTGGGGGAAAGCATATGGGGAAGCAGTGCCTCAAAGCAAAGTACATTAGGTGCCCTCAGTTTCCAGTAGGGTGGTTTGTTGTGTGGGTTTTTTTTTTTAATTCCAGGGGTTGTCTAATGGTCTTTAAAACAAAAAAGTGAAATTTCTCTTATCTAAGCAGGACTGTTGTCTGGTCAAGGTAGGTGGGTGGGGGAGTTTGACTTCCTCCTTGTTGTCTACTAGAAGTTAACCATGGCCAGCTCGATGCTTACGTTATCATTTCTTTTCTGTCAGATTTGATGGTGGAATTCATTGTAACACACATGATGAAAGAATTTCCTATGGATCTCTATGTGTAAGTGTCTGTGGGGTGACTCACTGTGATTTCATTTGAAGTTTGAATCTGGGGGGAATTCCAGTCACAGAGCAATCTTTGGGCTGAAATACCACTTTGTGGCTGGTGGGAATGGGATGGCTTTTCATGAACTCTTCCAGCAACGTTTTCTACTTCTGAAATGCTCTGGGTGCCAGAAGATTGAAAGTGAAATGAATTTCCACCTTTCAGACTGATTTCCTAATCTACTTGATCAAACGCAAAGAGCTTTTCAGTCGGAACGAAGTTTCCTGATACAGGGTCATTGCAAGAATCCCCGCTTCCCAGAAGATGAATCTTGGTCTGGAAACTGAAAAGACAGTTTTGAAAAACCAAGGATGACTGACGTGAGGCCTGGAAGGCAGCATGGAGAGTGAAGAGAGAGGTTTAAGCCTGCTAGGCAGGAAGGGGTAAAACTCTGCAATGGGGAAAAGGAGAGAGGGGACAGGGCTGCACGCACTCCGTGTGTCCCAGGAGGCCCCTAGAATGCTTTGTTCTGCTTTAGCCTGGAGGGCAGAAATAGGATTTAGGCAGATCGTTGGCTTTGCTCTGACTGTACAGTGCTGAATTTCCCCAAGGCTCCAACAGCACTGTGTTCTGTAGAAGAGACAAAGATACATAGGCTGCCTTCCCTTAAGGTAACTTTTCAGCGTGTTCTGATTTTGCCCAAATAACTCTGCAACTCCAGTGCCTTTGCAAGGGTTGCACAGCTCAGTTACGAGTTTGCAAGGAATGTTTTTTTAATGACAATTACAGAATTAGTTGTAGAAGGGTGTAGGGCGTTGGAATGCCACAAGAAAAGTGTGAAGTGCTTGGGCTCAAAAGTAAGGTCACATCTAGCAACCCCATGAGAGTAAAAATAATGAGCAGTCCAACCATGAGTGGACACTGTATCCATTCGTTTTGGCATGTTTGTGCAGTCTTTCCACTCTGCTGTCTGAAGCCATCCCATAGCAGACGCAGTTATTGCAGACAAAGCGGGTGTTCTGAATGCGTAAATAGTGTCATGCTTCTCTGCAATATATTTAAAAGGTGACAATACGAAGCTGCTCAAGGGAGAGCTCATTAATATTTAAAATATTTTATTTGGTTACTTTGACCAAGGGTGTGTTTTGTCCATTATGGGCATTATGAATCCTTGGCACAAAGCTAAAAATCAAACACCCCCCCAGGATGGATAACTTCATAACTGAAGCAGTTCCGTAACTCAAGCAGTGCAGTTTGGGAGGCTGTAGGCTGGTAGCTGGTGCTCTGGCTCTTCAGGCAGGGATACCAGGATTGTTATGCCCCTCCTCACCCCTTTTCTTCCATGCCTTGATTTCACCCAGACAGCTGCATGCTACTGTGTACAACCACAGGGTTTCAGTGCTGGCATATGTCTGCAGAGTATTTTGCATTAATAGCTATATTAACTATAAAGAAATGTTTTAGCCATTGCCAGATTCTCTCTGGTCAGTGCCTTAAATAGCTCTGGGTTTTTTGTTTGTTTGTTTTTTTAAAGGCCAATTTTAGTCTGACAGCCAATCAGATATGAAGGTGGAAAGGTCCTGGGCATTGTCTGGTACATGTAACATCAGAAATAGCAGGTGTTTCCCCAGATTGACTGCTGTTCCCCATCTGAAGACAGCTGTCTGTATCCTAGCTGGTTTGCTTCCTTTGTTTGATTGAATGAAGAGAATCCTATGTATCTGAAATACAGGACTTAACCTGATGCTCAGCGATTATAAATGGTTTTATCTTTATTTGTCTAAAGTTAATTTCAGTCCTTATCCCATAATGGTGTTTTTGTGATCATCTAAGAGTCTGAAAGGAATAATGTATACCTTCTGCGTATTTTTTCTTAAGGTTTTTTTTAAAGCCCTTATTTTTGGACTCTTCACCCCACTTTGAATAACATCCATGCAAGGTTTTGTAATTTGATTTCTCTGTGTTTGTCTGACGTGTAGTGTCTTTCAGTAGTGTCTTTTCAGGGAGATGTTGATATTAATGAGATGATGTGTTTTTGAGAAATAAAGGTTTGGGGAAAACTGATTTTTTTCCTTTTTGAAGTCTTCCTTCTGTGTGTTTTTTTTTTTTCCTAAATGTCAGTAACTAAAAATAGCTTGGCCTAACAAATTCAAATTTGTAATCTTTTCTGTGTTGTCCTTACTGATAGCTCGTGCTAGAGAATTTACTTATTATATTGTATGTTTAGTGATGTTATTAGTGAAGAATGTTTGTGCTCCTCAGAGTTTGCCTGAACGCTAGATGCTATAGAGACCTATGGGATTTGGAGACATCACAAGGATACTAACTGTGTGTTAGGGGATTTCAGAACTTCTAGGTCTATTGCTTGATCGTTCCAAAGCTCATTCTTAAATTGTTTAAAGGGACTGGAAAATTTGTCAGGGATCTCTTTCTTCCTTTATATAATTTAACTGTATGCCTCAGTCAAACTAAAAATCCTGCTGTTGGTTTGACTCTGTCATTTCCTTTAGTCTCATCACAGGGGCAATAGAAACTGAAAAGCTCAGTTGTGTCCAGATTTTACAAAATCTGAGTGCAGTATCTCATACCTACGGAGCAAGTTAAGTAACTCCTTTTCTGGAGCTTATGAGGTCCTCAGGTAAGGGCAGCAAAGAATGGAAAGTCTTGATTAAATATAAACCACAAACTTGCATTTGTAGTCAGTGCAATCATGCTGAACTTAAACTGGCACACAGGCCCCTTTCTCTTGTCTCCTGGTTCGTTCTTGCAGGTGTTACTTCCCTTTAGGAGCCCAAAACCATGAGCCCCACCCTCCTCCCGTAGACTGTGTGTATTTCCTTGCTGCTGACTTTGGAGACACTTCCAGGTTTGGTGCAGAATTGCTGGGAAACACAATGTAATGAATCCTTCGCCCTCTCTTTTTTCCAGGCGGTGCATTCAGATTGTACACAAGCTGCTGTGCTACCAGAAGAAATGCAGAGTGAGGCTTCACTACACCTGGAGGGAGCTCTGGTCAGGTACTTTGCATCTGGAGAGACAGTCAAAACATGAAAAGCCCGGAGTGGGTGGCTGTGTGGTGGCTGTGACTGCTCGTTCCATTGCTACAGGGTTGAACACCAAGCAGCAGTTCTGTTAAAGCATCTTTATTTTGCTGCTTCGTTGCTACATGCAAATTACCTCTTTTGGAAAGCCAGGTCGTTATCATAATGGTAGCTAATTTACTTTCTTGTCTGGCCATGATCACCATGGTATCCAAATGTCTTTGTTTTTTTGTTTCATTACCTGAGTCCCTCTTCAGCTGATTGGAGGAATGGAGTAATGTTTTATGCAGGAGTGTTTCTCTCTCAGATGTTTGTGAGTAGAAAGCAGGTAGGCTCTTGGGTACTAGTAATGTTTTATGCAGGAGTGTTTCAGATGTTTGTGAGTAGAAAGGAGGTAGGCTCTCAGGTACCGGGAGGTGGACCCTACTTTTCCTTTTTCCTCTAAGAGATGGAGACACACAATAACGTTTGCAGCTCCTTCTGAAGAGGGCATCCTAGAAATGTCAGTGGGAGGGAGGAGAGGCTTTTAACTCTGACCTTTGCATTGATGGTAGATAGTCTGGTTCAAGCCAGTGGTGTCCCCAGATAGACGTATTATGGGGTTTGACTCAGTCTGGTGGATGTAGCTTTGTAGGACTGTTCTATGATGCAGTTATTGTGTGGGAGGTCTGAGGAAGAGGGTGGCAGAACGGGTGATGAGACCTAAGCGGCTGCTTTCATGGACACAGTGTGTGCTTCTGTTCTTACCTTGCTAGCAGCAGAGTAGCTCAGCTAGGAAAGTACAGTTAATCCCTTAGCTATTGTGGCTAAAACCAGAGGTTTGTGAAAATTCAAGGGAACGTGGCCCTAATTGTGTATTCCTGGAGCTGTGCTTGAGACCTAGGATCAGCGACTTGGCTGGTGTAGTGCAACTCCCATCAGAAATTTGAGAGAGGATGACTTTTGATGAGTGGTTTGTGAAGATGTACCCAATTAACACCAAGTACTTCCCTTCAGTAGCTTTGTGCAGCGGTGTGTAGGTACAGAGAAATGAACCAACAATCCGAGTCACTTCCAGTTATTAAATTTTTGCCTTGTGTGACGTGTGGCCCATTCAGACTTTCTAAATGATTCTTGTAGAAGGTGAAGTGGCTGCCCCTAATTAAGGGATTAGCGATTTCTTTTTGGTTGTTTTCTTCAGAACAGAGCCCCTAGAGGCACGGCTGCCGTGTAGTGCCGGTGCATGTACAGTGTGGCGTCTGTTGTGAATAGAAATTGCATCTGACAGCCTCTGTGATACCGTCTTCGCAGCCACCAGCGAACCACATCCATTGCTACTCGGCCAGGCTGAGCTGGGTCTTTCCTACATGTTGGTGGTAGAAGTCTCAGATATATTGAAGGTACTGTTGCACAGAGCAGAGAGCACACTCGGGCATCTTTCAATCCTTAGCTTTTGTGGGGGGGAGTAAAAATTGCTGCTACACACTGAGATTCAGTATCTTGGGATATTCTTGTTAGCTGTCTCTAATTAGCTGGTGTTTGTACAGTGCCTTGGAATTGTAAAGTGCCTCAGCAGTATTAAGTACTGCACATGCTTCGAAAGCCAAGCAGTCAGGTAAAAAGCGCTCAGGTTGGTCTGCTCGGGTTTCTGTGAGGGGCCTGGAATGTCTGCACACCTTCTGTAGCTGAATAGCTCCATACCTGCTATGGATTTCTGTGTGTTTAGGGAGATCCTCTCATGTGGGAGTAAATTACAGTAAGAATGTTTCAAAGTTGTTTTTCTTATAAGATGTTGAGGGAATCTTCCGTAGCTGCGAGGTGACTCGTACAGGCTGGAAGGTCCCAGCAGTACCTGCACCGGTAAAAGGGCGCATCCTGGCTCTTCCAGGTGTGTACCTCTAAGTGCTGCATGTGGCAGACGAAGTGTTAACTGCCAGCCCTGTCTTCAGGTGTATTTCTTAATTAACTCCTAGCCCTGTCAAGGCTGCTCTTTGATTACCAACACTGCTGCCGCCTTGGTGAAAGAATGGCTATTTTTCTGGTCTTGATCTATCCGACAAACAATTCCAAACTGGACCACAGGGATTTCTGAATTCATTTCTTTCCTTTACGTGAGCATATTCCCCTTTTGGGCTTTTATCTGGGATCGAAGAGTTAGTTATCACTGCTGGTGGAACCGCTAACGGGGAGCAGCTACTTACTGGAAGGTCTGAGATCTCGGGTTGCCCTATCAGGCGTGATTTACAGGAGGTCTTCAAGCCCACACTTGTCTTCTTGAATGACAAGGTGTGTGATGACTGAAGCAATGCCCTTGTTGTGCAGCGTGGATAATGGCAATGGAAGCCCCTCAACAGAGCTGAGTGGAACAAAGAAGCTGGAGGGAATTGGTGTAAGGAAGCCGTGAAAGAAAGGGAGAGAATTCTGCTTAGCACGTAAAAGGCGGAGAGTTGTTTCAGGCAGATAACTGAGTGGGAGAAGAAGACAAAGGGAATAGTGTGGGGTAGGTAGTCGGTATAGGGTGCGGAGGAACGGAGATAAAGGTTGTAGGTGGAAGCAGTAGCAATGTATGGAGCCACCTTGTTCACTTGCCGATTCTAATGTTAGCTAGTCTCTAATTAAGGAAAGCCACTTGTGTCATTTGATGGATAGATGCTCGTGCTTCCTCTTCAGTACGGAAGGCCAGTCGCACTCTGAAAAAGTTTCTGCGTTCCCTTTTGTGATTTCAAGTTGCAGCGACTGCAGAGAAAAGCAGTGGAGCCAGGTGTTTGGCATCTCTCAGGACACCTATCAGGCTGTTAGTGCAGTCTGTGATCCTTACAGTTTTTTGGATGTGCCAGTATCTGGCTCATTGCTTACATGGGATCTTACTTCTGATGGATTTCTTCCTCAGCATCCAACCTTGACGAAGAGCGATGCTGTTACTGAGTCTTTGGTCGTGATCCAGCCTGAGCTTCTCTATTACGTTAATTCTTTCATGTGAAGTCCAGGGGGCAAGACCACGGTACTGATTACGGTGTAAACCTTTAGCTGTGCTTGAAAGTTTAGCTGACAGGATGATGCAGGGGTTTGAGGGCTGGAAGCGGGACTGTCGGAAAGGAAGATCTGACAAAAGTAATATGTATAAGCTGGCTCTAGCTAACCTAGTGTGAAAATAAATATCAGATTACTAGTGGAGCTGGATTCTGGGATATCCTAAGGGTGCTGGAGAACAAAAGCAATGGTAATTTGATTAGCTGGTGAAAATGATTACCAAGCACAGTTACTGATAGGTAATGAGATCCAGAGATGCCTGTTGATCTTGATTCCTCTTTAACTGACTTCTTAGCAGATTATTAGCTTCAGATCAATCACTTGTGGTTCATATGTGGCGCTTCCCTTTGAGTGCTGAAGAAAATGTTCAGGTTTTTCTCCTGTGAGAGTGCACCATTACTGGTGACTAGCCTGGAAATCTGGCCTAGGTCAGAAACTCTGAGTGGGTGTGATTGTGTTGACCTGTTCCCTTACAGACATTTTGGCCAATTGGAAATCTCCTGGGCTGTTATACCAGGTACCTTACACTTCTTTTAAACACTCATTTATTCAGTGTCAAAGTGTAAGGTACTTTATAAAGCTGATCAGGAAACTTTACTCGGTAACCACCAGTTTCCTGCTCTCAGGAGTAGCACATTATGCCCAATGTTTTTCTTAAAAGGTTGATTTTGCCGGCTATAAAGGCAGGGGTTGGGTTTTTATTGTTGAACTCTTAACTAGTTTGTTCAGCACTTGAGTGATGGAAGGTGCTATATATGTTGTTGTTGTCAAGAATGTATAAGTTATGCCAAAAGAGTTTTCATGAGTCATTTAAGCTTTTTATATAAAAAAAGACCTAATTTCTTCAACTCCTCCCACCTCAAAATTAGTAATGCTTGAGCAATTCACTCTGAGCTTAGGGGGTGCAGGTAACTTCTTTGCAGTTGCTATGGTTTGCGTTAAGCAAAAGCCATGTTTAAAGAAACAGAAAAGCAGTTCTAATACAGATTTAATAATAGCAAGAGGTAGATAATAAAAAAAAAATCTTAAGTATAATAAGGAACAATGGTGAAATAGCTATTTATTAGGGCATATGAATGCAAAGTAGGATAAAAAATGAACTTTGCCATTGGTAAGCATTGAAGATCAGTTTCCAAGTTATTGCAACATAAGGGCTACAGTTTCTTACTGTGTAGCTTAGTTAATTTGATAGATGTTGATCGCAGTGTTAAAATGAAGGTGCTTCAAATGTGTACAAAAGAAAGTTAATTTTTCTCTAGGATTATCGAAGCAGACTGGACAAAATATGCTTGTTTCCTTCTTGTAGGCTCCTTCCATCGTTTTGACAGTTTCTGTATTTATAACACAGAGATAATAATGCTGTCAAAACCTTCTTGGGTGAACAATAAAGAGGTGAAAGGTTCTTCTCCCCCCAGAAATATTCCACAAAGGAGCTACCAGTTTAAGCATGTATAACACACTTGTCCTTATACAATGCATGTTGAAGGTGGCATTGTTTAGTTGCTTGTACTTTGCTGTGTTATTTCTGTGGCTGAAATACTGATTACTGATAGTATTCGTTACCGTCGGCATTTCTGGTTCCCCAGCTGCTGATCAGGTCTGCTTTAGCTCTCAGATTTGTCTTGCTGAGCAGACTGGAAATCAGGTGATGTTGCATCTGCCCTTCATCTCTAATCCTGCTGTCAGACACTGCCACGTGCTGCAGCAGCTACCTGGCAAGGGAAGCTTGTCTTGCAGCCCTTGTGGAGGCAGTTTTTGTGTACTGGTGTACCAGACAGGCTGGTGCACTGGTAAAATGCCTCACCATGAGGTGCCAGGGGAGTTTGAAGGACTGTAGAACTGCTTGGCCAGTTAGCAGATGACTTAAAGATTTTAGGGAAAATAATTCAAGACCTAAAATTTGACCTGCTTGCAGAATGTCTTATGTGGCTTTAAAAAATACTACCAAGGTTCAAAATCCAACAGCA